TCATACTGGCCTTTCCTGGCCACTTCATCTACACTAGCCTCCTCTTGATCCCGTTTATCCTTTATCCCTTATGCTGGCTTATTCTTTCTCCTGACAGTACTGGTATACTTACTTGATAGCTGTCTTCCCAACAAGAAAGCAAGTTTGATGAAGCGAGGAACTCACTCTGGCTTGGTCTGTTTCGGATCCCTAAGATCTAGAATACCGCCTGATCATGGCAGGTAAATAATATTTGTTAGCTAAATAAACATGTGAGTAATAATACTACATGTCGAAATAATTCTCTTCTCATTATATAGAAGAATATAACATTTAATAACAAAAAAGGGAGATTTATCTGAAATTACTTCCACATCACTCGACTATTTCACCAGAAAATAACTGCTGTATCTCCAAGCCAATATTCAGTCTGGAATCTGTACATCTAACTTCCCTACCTGACCTTTCAGAGTTCCCTTCAGTATTTCTAGATCTAATTTAAGTAGTTCCAAAAGAAAGAAACCAATCTCTTCTCTTGTTCAGCATAACATAAACCACTGATTTACTACTCTAATCAATGCCTTAGGCTGTTTTCTGTACCCTCTGTTTCTAACATAAACCTCTTTCGTCTGACTCCTGAATCCCTGTGTCATCCACTTATTCCATCCCACTCCATCTTACTCTTTTTCCCTACTTACTCTTTGCGAGGTGGTCTTCAACTATCCTATGTGTTCTCACAGGCATTTCTCTCAGACAGAACGTCGCATCTGTCTCTCAGTATGCCCAGTGTAGTACTTAACACAGAGTATGTGTCTGATAAATTCTTCAATTGAGTTTTACAGCTTTCAAATTTTACTTTTGATACTTACCTTGCTTATAACTTCCAGCATTACCAGGAAGGAAGAGAACAGGAATACCCGTCAAAGGGAGAATTTTGTGCTCTTCAGCATAGGATCCTTCCCCATAAAGATATAATTCATATGCGGGATAGCGTTTTGCCAGTTTCTTTGGAAGTTCTATTTTCTACAGGAAAAAAAAAAGCAATTTCACTTTAGTCAGTTTTATTAATACAATTCAGTCTCACTGTACCCAATTTTAAATCATACAAATTTGAAATAGTGCAATATAAAAATACTAGATGAAAAAACTACATGTAATGCACAATTTCTACTTTTAGTTTATATATATAAAGCATTAGTCTTGAATTACGTGAGTTTTGAACCACATAGTCTTCAGAAAAGCCTAAAATGGCACTACCTAAAATTCTAAATAATACAAATCACTCAAAATAGCCACTAACAAGAGAAAAATACTGGTATATGTTAGCAAGTTCCATGTTAATGTAATTGGAAATGCATTTAACTTAGTACCTGTTATCAATTATACTTAGAAATGATAAAAGCTTTCCATTAACAAATCAATTCTTTTTTTGCTATTTTAAACTGTTTTTTAATGTTTCTCCTTTTACTGGAATATATACCGAACTATATATTCCAGATGTTATATCATTCAAAGGAAAGTTAGTTTTTTATAATGCAGCTTTCTTAGTATGCTTTGACCTACAATGTGCTTAACAAATTAATTTGAACCTATAGCCACGTCTTGATCAAGAGAAGTACATTCTTCTCACCAAAGACATTCCAATGAACTAACATCTGTTTCAGTTTTCATGGAGCAGGTGCATGGTTTGTCAGTAAGCCTGAAATTACTCTGAAATTCATATTATTGTATACCAAATGAGCCAGTAATTCACATTATATTTTTTCAGCAAATATAAATTAAATCTTAAAGTCATTCCCAAAAGGTAGGCATCTATAAAAGTGGTAGTAAACTATGAGCTCTTCTTCTGCTCCTTTTTTTTAAGGACAGAAACGATTAAAAATGAAACCAGTTACATTGAACAGATTTTACTTAAGCTGACATCAACAGATTTAATGATCTGTCAGAAATGCACAAAAGCTTGATAAAAATTTTAACTATTGAATGAATTTTGAAAACTGTAAATGGTAATGACTACTGATAAAAATCACTGTTCTAAAAAGTAGAATTATGATCATTCATGCAAATTCCTGAATATTCCTTTGAGGATATTATCATAAACAATCTGTGCCAGTAACACCATGAAAATATCTTGAGACTGAGAGCTTATTGTTTAAGATACTAGAATCTTTATCTCCTCAAGTACTCAAAATACGGATATACCAACATCACTATACTTAATATGTGTGCATGTATTTCAACTCACATTAGTCCCAATATTAATTACACACAGTATACAATAAAAAATAATGTGGTATTTTGTTTCTCTAGGTACAAATTAAGCAAAGAGAAAATGTGAGAGAACAAGGAAACAGTTATCTTAACTCCTCTCAATTTAGTATACCACTTGATATAACGGTACAAGCATATTAGATTTTTTTTTTTTAGGACAGTAACTAAACAAAGTTCTGAACTAGTTGAAAATTAACTCAGAAGAATAATAATTATCAAACATATCAAAAAAGAAATAGTTAATTCTTTGGAAACAGAAAAACAAAGGAATATATTTGATGTATTTCATATATACTATTATTAAAGCAATTTCATAGTGAGAAAGTATACATTTAAAAAAATGTGAATGCATGTAACATGGAGTAGAAAAAAGTATAAAGATGGAAAAAAAGAATAGAACAAAAATAAAAGGTGGGAATTGTAGTCAATGGCAAAACTTGCATTTCCAACAGAATTCAAGTTGGGAGTGACTGGCCTGAAAAGACAGGAAGAGTATTGGCTAGACTGAGGACAGAAAAGATGGAGGCATATAAAAAGGATGCTGATGAAAAAAAAAAAAAAAGCAGCAGCAGCAGCAGCAGCAGCGAGTCAAGGGATTTAAAAAGAAAGCATTTATAATAATAGACTCCAATATATTTTAAATTGATTATTTTATACTGATTATTTTTTAAATGAGCACCCTCCCCACGAAAAGACTTCCAACAGCTCACAGTCCACACTGCTATCAAGAAATAACCTTGTTTAAAACGTATACCTTATTTGTTTCTCACTGCACACACAGATGATAAAAGAGAGGCCCTTTCAAACCTGAATGTAATTATTCTCAGCTGCTTCCTTATTATTTATACACGCCATCTTTTTAATTTTGTAATATGTTCCAAAATTTAAGATTCAATAGGGTTTATCTTGAAAAGGCTCTCTCCTACCCTCGGTCTTTTAGCCTTCCAGTTTCCTACCCAGAAGGCAACCAATGTTAGTCTGTGGTTCCAGAAATATTTTACATGTACACAAATACAAGCAAATGTGTTTATAGGTTATTTTCTCCTTTTCTATCTCCATAAATGATAACATACTATACACACTGCTTATGCAATGTGTCCTGGTGCCTTCTCACCTTCACAAAAGCTATTCTTTATTCCTACAATTTTCTTGTTCCTGCACTTTATGAACTATATACGTATCCTCAACTGCCCAACACATAACCTCTTCTCTGTAGCTTTGACTACCCAAGACGAACATGGCTGCTCTCTTCTGTAAAGAGCCTTGTACACAGTCCTATAGTAAAATTATGACATCTAGCACATTATATTTTAACTATCCATCTCATTCCTGTCTCCCCTATTGTATTCTAAGAACATAAATTTAAAGGCACAAGGTCTGGTTCATCTCTAATTCCCTTTCACCTGTACCAGTATCTAGAAATATATGACAGAGTAGTCATTAAATAAATGATATGCCAAATAAACATCACACTTAGCACAATACCTGATTAAATTTTCCAATATCAACGCTTCCTTTCAGAGTGCAATTGCCAGGTCATATAGCCAAAGAGAGCCGAACAAATTACTGTATGAAAAAATATAACACAGGTGTTTTCTTCTTGAATTCTACAATTTGCCTAAAACTGTTTGCTATCAAATAAAAGCTTTGCCTTGGTGTCATAAGGCAACAGCTGTAAAGGATAATGTATATTTTGCCTGGTAGGTTGGTGAGATGTTCAGTTAACTCTGAATAAGTGAACTAGGAAAATCAAAGGTAGACGATTAATAAAGACAATCAAACAATTTTCAATCCAAAACTTAAATTTTACAAAGTTTCAAGTTCCTGTCCCACATTTTGTTTTTGAAATGGAGAATAAAATTAAGCGTGTTTCAACTACCTCTCAATGCCTTTAGAAGTCAGCTAATGACTATGCAAATGAGCAGTACGAAAGAAGAAAGGCATCAAGAACAAGAAGAAAATCCAGCTAGGACATCCCATATGCTGGATATCAACCTGTGAACAATTAGAGCATACTACATACTATAATTAAAAGTAAGCAATATATAAAATATGTTTAGAACATTTTAAACAAGACTATTGGTTCTTAATAGAATGATCCCGATTGTCCAGAAATCTCACGAATCATATTCAAAATGACTCATCTCCGTGGCCAGGTTTTTACTGTATTTGTAAAATAACATGACCCATTGCGTACAATAAAAGGACTAAGAGTCAAATATAAATACTGCAGTGAATAAACACTTCTTACACCACAAAAATAAAAGTCCACTAAAATTGTGTATCAAACAGTCCAGCCACTGTAGTTATCACCACACTAACATATTAACAGAAGTGTAAAAACCTCAACAAAAAAACCCCAAAATAACTAAATACAGACTATTCAACAACAAAAAAGCAAAATAGCTCTTCTGCATTAGCTACACTAATTTTCTGTGTTTTTCCAGTCAATTTTATGAGGCATGAAGTGCATCTGTGTGAGGTCCATATGCTCTGTAATTTCTACGACTGCAAATATTAAAATAGCTTCAATAATAGTGGGCAATCTAAAAATAAATGCGAATTAGTACTGTATTGTTCCAAAATGATTTTATTTTAGCCAAACTTCTCAATGCTGTACAAAACCAAAATGACCTACTTTAATCTATTGGGAGTTGCCTAATTACTAAGCCATAGAAAAATGAAAGATTATAAGGCTTCTATTTTCAGTTTGAAAAAAATCTAAACTAAAAGACCACAACTTTAACCATATACAGCTACCGATAAACATAAACCAACATACTCAATTAGATATTAAGAAACAATAGTAACATTAAAATCTGCTTTCAATAGCATTTAATAGCAAATGCTTCCACTTCCTTACAAGCATGAATACAAAACCAAGGTAAGGATCTCAAAACAAATGAAATCTAAACGCGAATTTTGCCCATGGGAAAGGATGCTCTTCAGCAATTTAAATCGTAAATAGTGTTAAGACCTAAATAACTGCATAATCAAATAATAGGCTCCTCCATAAGGACCTGTACACAGGAGCACTCAAGTTCTGCATCCTGCACCTTAAAGACAAAATGTGCTACGGTTTTAAATGCATTTTATCAATATGTATTATAGTACATATACTTTTTAAGGTAGGAAGTTACCACTACAATATGTATTCCATAATTAGGAGATGCATTTGGAAAGAAAAGAATCTTTCGGGAGAAATTTCTTCGGAGGGCTGTGTAATTTGTCACCTCCGCCTTACAGCTGGCCATGAATGAAATTCTAGAGTCTACTATGCTTAACTGATAAAGCGATTGTGATTGAAAATAACTCAAAATGGAACGAAGAGGGTGGGCAGAAAGATGGAGAGAAACAAGGGCCAGGTCTCTCTTAAGTTGCAAACACGGTGAGAAAACAAAAATAACACCATGAAACAGATTTTGTATGCAACTGGTAAGAGGCGACATGCATAAACACAGGCATGCCTGTACACGCACGGACCCATGAGCTACAAACAGGAGGCTCCGCAAAACCTTCACAGGAGGGAACTGCACTAGT